ATTTCGAGGGTTTTGAGTTGGACTAAGTGATTAATTGTTTAAACAAAACGCAAAAAAAAAAGTAAAAAATAAAGCGACACGTGGCAGCTCCTCAGAAATCTGCAAAAAAAAACCTTAAAATATTATATTAGATTACAAAAGAAATCCAAAATTTTAAGGTGTCAGATGAACCCATGTTTTCTTTAGTAGACTCGCCACTGATCACAACTCNCTCAATAGAAAATCTCTGCAATTTTTCTTTCTCTTGAAACGGCTAACCCTAGAAAATTATACTTTTATATTCGTCGGATAAGTAAAACATCTAAGTTACCCTTTGCTTGATTGAGACGCATCCGATATATTTTCTTCCTTATTTGAATACATCCTTCCAATTTGCATGTAGTCCACGTCAACTACTTAACCACAACACTTTAATCTTCGTGTTGGAACAACTCCACATATGTTCCAGCAGCTCGTATCTTGTTGATACAAAAGATCCTCTTTCAGATGCTACACATCGCTCTCGCTTGCGTCGTGCCGCAGCCAGAGAAACGGCCAACTATGGCGGAGATTGTTAAGATGGTTGAGGAGATTAAGGTTGAGCAATCGCCCATGGGAGAGGATTTCAATGAGTCGAGGAACTCATTGTCGCCGCCATTGGCCACCACCGAGGACGTTCGTGTTTGATTTGTCCGTTTGCTTTTGTAAAATATTTATCTATCGCTGGATTTTGTCCATTTTAATGTTTTTGCTTAGAAACTTGTCGGAGTTTTTTTAAGCCATGTTTTTGTGTTCGTCACGGTTTGTGATTTGTAACGTTTATGGGTTTTGGTGGGTATATGAAACCGTTTTCAAATATGCTTTAGGAGGCTCATTAGAGCATCTCCATTGGTTGAGATACTGTAGCAGTAACTCACCAAATATAAAAATAAGATTGAACCAATCATGTATTGACATCCGTTGTTTGAGTTTCTATATTTTTTTCGTAGTCTCTTGAGACCATCTCCAATGTATATCTCTATTTTTATCTCTAAAATAGAGAAAATTATATCATTTCTCTATTTCTTCTCCAATATATCTCTATTTTAGAGGAATTGCTATAATATAGAGGAGAAAATAGCAATTCTCTACTTTTGCCTCTTTATATAGAGGAATACTACAATTTTCTCTATATTAGAGATAGAAATAGAGGTGGGTTGGAGTAAAATTTACTCTAAAATAGAGTTTAGGAGAAAAAGTAGAGATAGGTTGGAGATATTCTGAGAGACTAATTCGTTTCTCTTTCTTACTTTATGCATTTTTTATTAATTTTTTGTTTAAGAAGACTTTTAATTACTTTTTAGGAGATGATTAAATTGGTCAAATATTTTTCACAAGATTGCAATTTAGCTATTCTCCGCGTGGGTCTAACCATGTCGTCGATATTTGATTGGTTAGCATAATTGGAAAACAATCAACGCCAAATTTTCTTGAACACCAATTGACTACTGCTAAATAAGTCAACGTCGGCCTTGAGTCCAAGCACACCAAACAACGAGCTTGAGGCTTTTAAAAATCAGAGCCGGTTTTAATTTAAAATCTATTTTTTTAACAAAAAATATATAAAACGGTTTTTTTTGTTCTCTCTACCTTACGGTTTTCTAAAACTCAGGACCATCATCGATGGTCATTTTATTGTAGACACCTATGACGATTCCGTGTTAATAAACCATGGTTTTTCAATAAACTTCTATTTACCCATTTCATTATATAGG